TATGCGCTGCGTGGGGATGGGCTCGCACGTGAAGCGGGGTGAGGGTTAGCCAGAAGTGCGTGTACGCGCATGTGTGTTGGGCCAAATCCCCCTGTATGCTTGCTTGCTTTCTTGCACGGGCCAAGAAAGTGGGTTCATTCAGAATCCGGGTTAGGCAGGTTGTGTGAATTAAAGTACGGAGCTATTCTTCCCCCCCTCCAAGGGGCCGAGGAGGATGAAAGGCCAAGTAAATGATTGGGGGGTTCCAGGGGTGCATGTGGGGAATGAGAGGCTGGCCAGATGGCCCTCGATAGGTGGGGTGTCTCCCTCTCCCCGACTCCAGCGCTGGGCAGTAATGTGTCAGGCGCTGCACATTTGAGATGATGATGATGGTGATGGTGATATAATGCACCAGCAACGCAATTCCCGTAAAAAGGAGTATTGCGATTTTATTTGCCAAAGTGGAATTTCGAGGTTGATGGGGGAGAATAACTAATGGTTGGTGCAGCACCGTTTTTGAAGTCTTGGGGAAAAGGATCATAAAGCTACCCCAGAATTAACCAAAGCTGTGTAATTTTTCTGTTGTCTTCGATAATTATGAACCAAAAGAAGTAAATTAACAGAAGTCGTCGCTAGAGATGGCAAATTTACTAACCCAATTACTGTACAACCTCTCCCACACAGTCTAAAACCCTCTGATTCATAGTAAGAAAATAGATATTGAGATTTTTTTTTTTACATGAAACAGGATTATTAGATAGGGTCTTAAAACTCAAATCTAGAGGATAGGTTTTCGCCCTGCATGCTGCCATAATTAGATTATTTATTTGTTGCCTTAATTTATTTTTTTTACAGCGGATGCCAAGGCAGGAAGCATGCCTGAACTGCTTCCCCACCATCCTTTTTGTCCTCTCAACAACCCTGCGAGGTAGGTTCAGTTCTGAGAGAATGGCTGGCCCGATCCATTCGGTGGGGGATTTGAACTCAGATTTCTCTGGATGAACTTTAACCCTCTTAACGAGAGGGGAGCAACATTTTTGAGGACCATGCACACCATTTGGGAGGAGCCTAAGAGCTGCAGGAGGTGGGGTGATATGCAAGTAGGCGGGGCCAACCTTTCTAGCTTCCTAGGGCTGTTTCATTCAGTTATTGTATTTTAGGGTTCATACTCGGGTTTTCATACATTTTCAGGTTTCAAAATGGTGGAAAACCACCATCAATTTTCAGTCATTATGTCAGCAAGCTTTGCCCTAACAGGGGATTCAAACTGGCTTAAACCCAGTCTTTCTCAACCTGCAATGCCTTGCTATTATTGGACTACCACTCCCATGGCTCTTAGCCATGCTGGTGTGGATGATGGAACCAGAGGTAGCAAAAACTGAGTACAAGGCAAGATCAGGAAAAATTCTACCACTTTATCTCAGATCAAAAGCCCAACCTTTTTTAATTTTCCAACCCTGTTTGATGGCAGTTTTGGAGAAGGAAGCCATGCATTTGGACAAGCTGGGTTTCTATGCATGGATTTCTATTTCCCCCCCCCCTCTGTTTCTTGGGGTTTTTTCCTATGAAAGAATCTAAACATGCAGACTGAGTAAAAATTGGGTTGTGGGAAAAAAGACAGGAAAGGAGGTTGCTAGGCGGCACCTGAAGGTTAATTGCATCTTAGTTTGGATCAGAGGTTAGCTTTGCCAAGTAAGCAGAAGGTCGCCAGACAGACAAAGCTGTATCTCAAAATACTAGAATAAAATTAAAAAGCACTAGCAATATGGGAAAAGGGAGACAGCCAGCAGAAAATAGTCCATTATTTCTATGGGGGTTGCAGTGGCCCCAATCCAGTTATAAGTCAAGATTTATTGAAAAAAATAAAAGGAAGATGGGGAAATCAAACCCTATTCCAGCAAGTTAGTCTATTTGGAGCCATATATTAGAATAAATTCATTTAGTCCAAAGGCACGCTCTGAATTCCTAACACAAGAGCATT